GCTGAAATCCTTATTCTACAGTAGTAAGGCCATGCCTGTCTGACTTAGTATGAACAAGTAAAATAAGAACATGGGAAAGCCCATACCAGGTCAAATGACAGGTCCATCTAGCCCAGTATCCTGTTTTTCACAGATATGTAAAAGCAGATACCTCAGGAAGGGCATAAAAAATGAGCAAATACATCATGATATTTCCCCTAAATACCATCCTAGACTTGCAACAACTTATGGTTCAGTAGGTTTTTGAAACAGAATTCTCCAGCCTTAAGTACGTGCATTAAAAAAAACCAAAACTTAAGTTTACTTTGAACATGCCACCTGCTAGCTTATCTGATAGCCCCAGTTCTTGCCTTTTTGGAAGAGGCAACAACTAGTCTCTCTCTTTTCACCATCTCCATGACACTTGCGATTTTATAACTTGTCTCATATCTCCGCTCAGTCAGCTTCTGTCCAGACTGAAGAATTCTAGCCTACTTAATCATTCCTTACATGGATGCTGTGTTGCCTTTACCTGGACCTTTTTCAGTTTTGCTCTATCTTCTCCAAGATACGGGTAGAGAATTGTAGATATATTCAAGATGGAGGCAAGCCACAGCTTTGAACAGTGGCATAATTTCATACCCTGCTTCATTCTCTGTTCCCTTCCTGGCAATCCCTAACAAATGATTTGGTTTTTGGAATGCTTTTTTGAGCTGATGCTGTCATCCTAAAAACCTCAATCCTGAATCATAATGATCAACTCAGAGCCCATCATCTTATCTGTGAAGTTAGAGTTTTCCCCTTGTGCCTCACTTAATATTTACCTATGCAGAACTTCACCTGCCATTTTAATGACTATTACACTCAATCATTCTTCATGGTCAGCCCTTATTTTTACTGTCTTAAATAACTTGGTGCCATCAATTAATTCTCTCACTTCAGTATTCACCCCTTTTTCCAGACCATTTATAAATACACTGAACAAGACATATTCCTGTGCAACTCCACTGGTGACTTCCCACCATCCAAAGACCTGACCATTTACTCTTGACCTCTCTTTCGTATTTCTTAATCCATTTCATTCATACCAAGATCTTCCCTCTTATCTCATTGGTGGTTATTTTTTTAAGAGCTTTTGATGATTGCTCTTGTAAAACCAGATAAACTACATCAGCCACGTTTTTCTTAGCCTCATACTTTGCTCACTTTTTCAGAGAATTCTGGTAGGTCTCTGGAGCATGATTTCCATTTACAAAGCTATAATGATTCTTCCTCCATATACTATATTTATCTGTGCACCCTCTTTTTCTGTTCTTCTTTATCTTTTTCTGGTAAAGGTGTTAGACTAACAAAGAATGGAGGGAGAGAAGGCAGGGAGAGAAGGAGAAAGAGGGTTGGGGGAAGGAATGTAAAAGAATCTTCAGCAGGTAGAATAATTTTACAATTCAAATCTAAAAAATGACAGCATGTGCCAACATGTGAGACTAACAACACACCAGCAAACCAGAGTGCTTGCAACAGTGTGCAAAGACTGTCAGCGTCCTAACTCCTGTCACTGCCCCGAGTACGGTTCTCCATCATTATAACCTGTTCTAATCTGTGTGTTTTCTACTACCACATTTGCATAAATATCCCTGGTGTTGTGGCAGCACCACTGCAATCAGTCTTGCAAGGACAATTCTACAATGATTCTGAAATCCCTTCAGGGATAAGATTGCGCAGTGTCTCCTGTGGTCCTGATTACTTCCTTATGAGCTACAGAAGTCTTTTGTATGCATGTTATGCATGTGGAGTTTTATTATAAATATGGTCCACTATAGCAGTCAAACATCATCTTTCAGGATATAATAAATATGTAGAAGGTAGATTCCATTTAATTTTCTAAAATGCTTATAAGTTGACAGATATTCTAGAAAAGATTCTTGAAGTCCCCTCAAATAATAAATTGCTACCCTCAGGAATGCTTTCTTAGGGAGCGTGGAAAAAGTACCTCTAGTAGACTTGAACTGCACTGGTGCCCTAAAGCTGAAATTAAAAAAAGCACATTAATTAATAATTTTTGGATATTCTGTTTTTTTCTGTTGTTGGTTAGTGATAGTGGGATTTGCATGAATCAGGACTGCAGAAGACGGTCTCTAATTTTTGTTTGATTACTGATGTTTCTCCTGTCCAACTTTTCTCATCAGTGTTGCTGGTAACAATTCTTGTAGTGGAAGGGATTGCCGTTGCACAGAAGACACAAGGTACAGATTTGGTTTGATGATTTTCTTTCAAAAAATGCAAGAGGTTTATAATTTTGATTTAAGCAAAGTAAGTCAGAGAAGGTATTTGCATTCAGGTACTAATAGCTCTTTAATGAAAAAAAATGAATTTCAGTATTTTCCATTTTCCCCCTTATTTACTGCATTTTTTCCAACTGAACAGGCCGTTGAGTCCCAAAGAGCATGGAAGTTCACTCACCCAGTAAAAATTCTAAGGTTTTTAGACCTTAAAGATGGGAGGAAAAAAAAAAGAAACCCACTGCAGAAATTCACATTTTCTGTATCTGAAAACAAGCTTTTCAAATAGTCCACCCACAAACATTTTTGAAGCCAACACCTCCTGAGAGAGGAAGGCAACAGTTTCACAAACCTTATTTTCTCATACGTGGGAATAATCCATACACCGGAGAGAAGAACTCCTTGAACTGACACCTACAGAATTTTCTTCAACAGTTTCTGGAGGAGAGACTAAGGTTTCACCCCCATAAACCAGAAGGCTGCCAAGATGCCAGTGAAAGGCGATATAACCTACCAGAGGCAGCTAAGACTCGCTTCAGCACGGTCCTCCTTCTCAAAGGTCTCCATGGAAAAACTGCATAAGTATCAATAACATTATGAGAGCGTCCCTTGTGAGATTTAGGAAAATCTAGCAAAAATGAAATAGCTTGTGTCTCATTCTCTCCAGTTCTGCAGATATCAAAGAGAAAAGTCAAAGATACTTAACAAAAATGTCAGGGAGATCACGCTATTCCCAAGCCCTTTCTCCATGGATAAGGAAAACTGAACTAACAAAGCTCCTGCGTATGGTCCAGTGTGGCACACTAGCTTATTAAGCTGCATAATCTCAGCCAGGGATCGTATTTCTCTGTACATCTGAAAGAGAGCTTTTATCTTAAACGAGACCCTCAGTTATCAGTGCAATCTATTTACAGCGAGTAATTTTACTTCATTAATTACCATTGCTGTATTTAGTGTATTTATTATTTAGCCTTTAGTATTCTAACAAATTACTATAAAATAAATAGCTTAAGGGTCATGTACTTCAGCATACTTTGTTACCAGCACCAGAAGTAGTAAATTCTTACAAATCTTTTGAATCATATATACATTGGGATGGAAAAGAAGCAGGCCATAAAATAGTGCTGCTATATTGCCAGCCACTGTGGCTATTTGACTTAAAAACAGAGTCAAGAATTAAACTCATTTGGGTAAAATTACTTCCTCTCTTCCCTTCCTAAGGATTACTGTACAGATCTGACACTCCAAAACTGTGATCTCTTCAGGATATATCACATTGCTAATTTAAACAAAAGAAGATTTTGCTAGCTAAATAGTAAAAGTTGGCATATGTGGTAAGAGGTTTTTCAACCAAAACAAACGCCTTTCTTCCTTTATAGACTGTTGTTCTAGATAAGTGTTTTTCTTTGCAAAATCAAATTTGCCTAGAGACATTTGATCATGATTTTTTTTTTCCCCCTTAAGGTGGGCAAAATATTGGAGTGAACCGCGTTCCTCCTACCCAGTGTGATAATTGGGTACGGACAAGTAATGGAGGTCACTTTGCTTCGCCAAACTACCCTAACATGTACCCACCAAATCAAGAGTGTATCTATATCTTGGAAGGTACAGGCTCCATTTCTGTTTTGTTGTGTTGTAATCTTACTGTCAAGTGGATAACACTGAACTGTTAAGATTGTCATTTTACTGTATTACCAAGTAATATATAGCCATATTAGTAATATAATCAGTTCTGCAGTCGTTTCGTTGAGAAGCTGAACTTGCTCTCCAAAGTAATAACAACAAAAGAATAGAAAAGGCAAGCATTCAGGAATTAACAATATGGAATAAGACATGTCTCTCATCTAGTAAGAGCCACATCAAGATCCACTCTAATCTATGAAGGCACAGAACTAATGAGATAATTAAGCTATGATTTTTATCTTACTATCACTTTCAGCGTTGCTGATAATAAACTGCAAAAGATGGTTGAAGACCATCTTCAGCGTTTAACAGAACATACTGTATTGTTCTAGGCCCATCTCACAGGCAGAAAACCTTTATGCTGTCTTTTCTTAATAAAAAAAGACACATTTGACTGGCACCAGAACACTGTACTAAAAATACACGGTTTACTAGCACTGCTGAGGTCACTACTGAAGTTATGTGACAGGGACAAAAAAAATTCATTAACAGGAAAAAGCACATTCCAATGGGAGTATCCTGGATAAAGACCGCAAGACCTGGGACACTAGTTATTTTTTTCTCAATAATTAAGATGCATCCAAAAAAACACTGAAGTCAGCTAAAAATGCTAGTCAGCTTTTTAATCAGATTCATATCAATTAATTAAAATACTCAAGTAACATGCCAGTTAGGTTTTATTTGGGCAATCTAATGCTGGTTAGTGGAGGCCATCATTTCCGTCTGCATGCATGCATTTCTAAAGTTTCGCAACTTCCCTGTAACTGAATGCATAGCAGAGCAGATATCCTGTCCAGCTTCAAAACTGGGACATACCGGATGCGTTCCTGGACCTCCTTTGCGCAAGGCAGTTTCCATAGGGCACAGAATCAGTTTCCATGCCTTTATCTTCACAATCAGCCTACAGAAACATTGAGGGAACCTCACTGAGACAAGCGCGCTCCACAGTGCCTAGCTAAGATGTGGTCCTTCCTGCAGACCACTGCGCTGCCAATATGTGCAAGTTAGAGACACATACTTGTGCCTGCTAACTCATATATGAGTATGGCATAACATCTAAATAGTCTAGAGATGTATAAATAAATCCTTTTTGCATCCAAAAGAAGCAGACAGCATTTGATTCTTTAATTGTACCAATTAGTACCTGAAAGCTGATGCAGCATAATAGATGACAGCAAACACCACTGAAGTTATATATACAATATAAAGTCCCAGTATGAAACTGGGATGTAGTCTATAAATCTACAGATGCAAAAGTCAGGTCCAAAAGCAGCCATAGCTGCACTTCATCAGGATTTAGGGGTCTAATCCAAATTCTGATGTTAGGCTGTTACTGGTTCAGACCTATCAACATTTATAATCACCTGAATATCAATAATATATATGAAACATGTACAGTTTTCTGAATAGTCTAATAAAAGATATCCCCTGCTAATAAAAGATATCCCCTGCTACATGGGCCAAAGGATCTCCATATTTGGCTTAATTTTCAGGAAAAATATCAGTGAGCTGTTCTTAGTATCTTTTTCTTTTCCATTCTTTTCTGCATCTCTTAATGTTTTGTCCTTTATTTTGTACTTTGCTTCCACAGAACACTGACTCTATCCTATATTTTTGTATTAAAACTTGAATACTTTTGCATAAATGTTAATGTTACAGGTGCTGTTCTAAGTTTATGCAATTTCTGAATGTTTAACTTTTCAAGAAAGAGCAAACAAAAAAACTCCATAAAGTTTTATAAAACAGTATATTCTACACAATCACAGTTTTTCAATTTTTATTTCAGTATATCTGGGTTTTTATGGCAGACTGCCAGATTTATTTGGAGATGTATCCGGTATCTTTTTTATCTCGCTATTTCCAAGGTTCTCTCTGCATTATTTCATATCTTCATATATGTTTTATATATCTTCATTTAAAATTTTGCTCCTTTTTTTTTTTTATGCCTAGCTGCTCCGCGACAAAGAATTGAGTTGACCTTTGATGAACCTTATTATATAGAACCCTCATTTGAATGTCGGTTTGATCATCTGGAGGTTCGAGATGGACCTTTTGGTTTCTCCCCTCTCATTGATCGTTACTGTGGTCTGAAAAGCCCTTCACTAATTAGATCAACAGGGAGATTTATGTGGATCAAGTTTACTTCTGATGAGGAGCTGGAAGGAAAGGGATTTCAAGCAAAGTACTCATTTATACCAGGTAAAGATGCCTAAAATTCTGATTGAATTAATGACCACCTGCTCCCATTGAACTTTGTTTATGCTGGCACTCTAGAGCTGTATTTTGTCTTAAGTGCTTCTGAAGTCAAAGCGACAAGGTGATAGTTAAAGGTGTCTCAGTCCTGCTAATCCTACGATATGCTCAACTAAAACAACTTTGGAAGACTGAGCAAAGGGATTACAGGCCTATACTTTCCTAGTGAAGAAGTCAGTTGATCTTGTTCATACCTGTTCCACCAGTGGTGGAAACAGAAGGAGCAGTTATGTAGACTAGTGCCTGGCATTTTCAACAACCTGTCTTCTAGGAATAAGACATGATGACAAAAACACCTGAAGCCAATCTATACTTGCACTTCCAACCAGATTAAAAAAATTTTAAATCTCCAGTCTGAAAAGCCAGAGGAAATATCTACGTAGTATAAGCATCAGCTATTAATAAAACTAGATTCCCTCAAACCACAAACAGATTTGTTCTTTGTTCAAAGTACTCTGTAGTTTACCGGATATAAAGGAGAGTATAATATGCTGACAGTAACTTCAGACAGACAAAAACTACATCTGCTCTGTGGGGCCACTTACAACTAGCAGGGCATTCTTTTTACAAGGCAGTTTGATTTGATCTCCTTGTGCAACGCTTGATTGCTGTACTTCACAGATACTGTACATGCGTAGTTATCAACATTTTATTGTGCTTTGGGACAAAAGACAATACAGAATTGTCGGCTATTCCTACTACTACAACTGTCTTTACTCCTAGAGCACATGAAAACACTAAATGTAATTATATATTAGTGCTTATAGAACTGTATACTCTGCTAGGAATTTAAACTTGGAAACTGTTCAGATTAACATGGTGACCAGTCTCCTGGGAATACTGTGCTAAAACGTTTCCATAGGGACGGTACTTCTGCGTTTTGCAAAGTTCATTTCCAAAGGCATTTCATTAGCATCCCTTTCAAAGCTGACTTAGCCTAGTTCCAGGGTGAGGCCTTAAGTGTACATTTACAATGTCTTTTATTTTCACAGTAGATTGTAGGAACCGAAGGATGGATATTTTTTCTTTCCTTCCTCTGCATTTGCACCAAGTATGGTAAAATATTTTGGGACTGTGAAAACAGAGGGAGACATGCACACCCTGCTCACTTCTAAACACTTGGCATTCAGTTCACAAAGAAGGTTGAAAACCTCTTGCAAAATTTTGCAGACAGTAATCATAGATTTCACTAAAAAAACAGAGGAGCTAAAAACAGAGGAGGATGAAGAAGGCATTTTCTTAACTGTACTGAGTCTTAAGCTCAGGATTTTTGCATTTTAGTGGAAGTGATAAACTCCCTATACAGAAAAACATTTAGAGGATCATAGAAAGAGCCAAATTCTGGATGTTCGGTTTGAAAAAGGATTTTGTCCAAACTGAGCATACGCTTTCATATGAACTAGTTCGTTCTTTGAATAGACTAACATTTCACACACATATAAACACTATAATATGCCACAACATGGTGATTTTCTGTGCCACACCTCTGTGTGCCTGTATCCGGGGAGTTTCCATGTTGGTTTGTAAGGGATCACTAACCTGATCATTGAAACATCCAAGCCCATTACAGGTCTGCTTTTAGCCAAAACCTAGTCCCAGTAAAGCACCATCATTTACCCATTGTGAAAAAGTATATTCTTAACTCACTAGTAGTATATACAGATATGTTTGGTATATATAGATGTTGCATGTAGAAGATCAGAGGAACAACTAAGGCTAAATTCTGCTTTCATAAATAATGCCTAGAACTGTGCTAATGAAAGAGGCATGGGCACACAAGAGAAAAATACGATATTTGGTACTGAATCGCCGTTCTTTATATTCATTATTAATAGCAATTAGCAATTCCAAAATGTTGATATATTCTACTGCACTACTGAACTACTCCAGTTCAAATTGTACACAGCTAGACAGACAGCAATCTGATCAAAATATTGTGCACAGAAAGATTCCTCTGTACTCTTGTTGAGCTCCAGCGACTTTGGTGAAAACTGGCAGGCACAGTTACGTATCAGAACGTAGAACGATATAGCAACAAAACACTAATAATACTTTTTGGTGTTATGCTGGACATCTCAGCTGTCACTATTGAACTACCTTATGCAGATATGGTCAATTATTGCAGAATGATGCATCAGCTAAAAAAAAAATTGTCTCTGTACCCTCCAATTGATTCAGTAAACTTTCTGGCAATTTTTACTGTGACATAATAAAAAAACTGGATATCATCTTCAGATTATACTAAACTTGAAGTTATTCTCAAGCATTGATAGCCCCTGTGATTCATGACTTCTTTCTATTACAGATCCTGACTTCACTTACCTAGGAGGTATTTTAAATCCCATTCCAGGTCTAGTATTACAGTACCAATTTTTTCTATATATGAAATTTTGTATTAATATCATATCGCATTTGACAGCAAGGTATATGTTCTCTCTAGACTGTCAGTTTGAGCTCTCAGGAGCTGATGGAATAGTACGTTCTAGTCAAGTAGAACAGGAAGAAAAAACAAAACCAGGACAAGCAGTTGACTGCATATGGACAATTAAGGCCACTCCAAATGCTAAGGTGGGTTTCATTCGTGTAATTTAGCATATAATGGGCTTCCAGTTCATTAGTAACAGATAATAAGTCATTAGCTCTGATTTGCATAATATTTCACTTTCACAGAAATGAATTACATATCAGTGGCTTAGGAAATCCAGATAGATGATTCTGAAATTAAACTTATACAGCAAGTCCTCAACTGTTTTCTTCCTACTATTTGAAATTTAAAATATAAAATAACTCTGAAAACTGCTTAGGCAACTTTTTTCAAGGGCCTTGACTTGGCCTATTTTATGGGAAAACTGTAGGCAAAAATGCTGGCTGAAGACTTTGATAAACTCCAGCAAATCTTGCTGCTGTGGTTTAAAATTGTGCTGCCTGTGGTTCTACTGGGAATTTGGTTCTGTTCAAAGTCAATAGAAGACATAGCTGCTCCTCACCCAGTCTAAATCACAATCTGGCACCTTAGCTAACACCTATTTTCATCAGCACTCTAAGATAAAATGAAGGGCTTTACCTGGAAATGGCTGAGGCACAGGCACTCCTTCTCTTCCGACTTTGCTATAGAATCATGTAATCTTAAAGTGCCATAATACAATTTGCTAGAACTTTTCTGCCCAAGCCCTAAACGGGCGTATTAGCTGTTAGAGCCACAAATCAGCAGTAGATACTTAAGAAACTAACATTTATGATTGGGTCCACAGAACTATAGTCTGCTTAAGAGAACAGCACTGTCTTATGCTCATTAGAAACAACTTGAGCGTTACTCTTAGGCAGAAAGAAGGATAAAGTCTTGTTCATAATTTCAAAATGTAGTAGCTTTAGCCTGCCTTCAGAAAGAGGACATATGTGCTGTTACAGAATCACATACTTGTTAATTATGTACGAGTTGCAGTGAAGAACACATTATTTTTTCCCAACAGCACACTCATTTGTAATTTTGCTTCTAAGTGTGTGTGTTAAAGTGAATACCACTGTTTGCATGCATCACATCTACATAAAATCACAAAATATTTTGAATAGCATTGTCTACCAAGATCGCAAACATACTCTGTGCTTCCTTGCGTACTCCTAAGGGTTAACTAACCAGCCTTATTTTTCAACTTCCAAATTAGTACTAAAACAGCAATCTAAAAGATAGTAGCAAGAGGATAGGACAAGAGAGAAACTAAAACTATATTAATGTATCTGAGCCTTTGAGGAAGTGACTCAACTCCCAAGAGCACTATGCTAGACTAAGTAATAGTAGCAGTTCTTCCAGAAACAATAATAAAACAATTTTCTCCCTACATTTCCACTTGAGTGCACTGGGTTTTACTCTTAAGTATTTTAATAAATTATTGAATGTTGCCAGGAGGCAGAGTTGTAGTTGGGTCAGTCTTGAGATTAGATCATCATCTAAATTATTGAGTTAAAACATTACAGAAAAATAACTCCTGGTATTCTGGCAGTGGTTTGTCAAACTTCAATTCTGGCAGATTTATGATGATGAAATACAGTGCAGTCTCATGAGAAAAGTCAACATGGAAAACTTTTAATTTCTTCAGTTGGATTTTGTAATAACAATAGAACTGTAAAACTGACACAACTGCAGCAGTGAAAGGACTCTTAAAAGACTGCATAATTGAAATTTAATAAATTACCTCCAGGTTTCAGAATATGATTAGAATAGTTTAATCAATATAATCCAAGAGTGAAGACCTTTTATATCTTGTCCTCTCTGGGCCTCTGAAGCCTTGACAAAATCTACTTGCCTAGCACGCTAACCACAGAAGGAGCTTTTGCTGAGCTGAGCCTTTTTAATGGAATTTTTCTTTTGCTTTCCTACCCAGACTAGATCTCTTAAAAGTGTACTAATGTATTTTTAGCTTCCATTGTAATTTCACAGCAGATATAGAAAGGCAATCCTTACATGAAAATAACATGTTTCAGACCAAATACTAGCACCTGCAGCTCACACCCACATCTGTGAGACATGATGTCAATGGCAGACAGGTTCTCAGCACAGCTGAGAATTTCTGCCAGTAAATCTGACAAAAACAGTGGCAAAAAAAGCGTATTTACTGAATATCACTTTGCAGATCATGATGCTGAACACACACATACACAAAGTCACAAGGGAAAATACTTACATATAACAAAGTACTATTTGCACAAAACAGAGTGAGATGAAGCGTGAGATACAACGGCACAGGCTGCACCTTCTCACAGCATGTGCAAGGGGAGAAAGTGCTAGCCTCTGGAAAACACTGGAAAAAAGGAAAAAGCCAGAGTGTACAGGTGTTACCAGTCTTTTACTGTATTTATAATAGTGCCTGTTAGGTGTATGGGGGGGGGGAGGGGAGGGATTTTTTTTTCTACACAAAGGTGTTGTTTTTGTTTTAGTGAGATTTTTTAAAATTCCGTTTCAAAAGGCCTTGGCACTAGCTGAGTTTAAAAATAAGATACAGCAAAAGGGCAGAAGAATAGGTAATACAGCAGTAATAAGCATGGTGTTTGTCCACCTTGTCTTTCCTTCTTCACAAACTCAACAGGAATTTACAGTTATTGCCATTAGGCAAGTGTATGAAGAACTGCACAGTGGAAAAGGTTGTTAGCATTTACTGCATCAGCCAGAGAGGCAATTATAAACTGTACTCAGAACCAGTACAGTCAAGACCCAGGCACATCTGAAGAATGTGCTAGAGACCTCATGGATTAGGACCTCCTCTCCCATGGATTAGGAGATCTCAGCCTCCACATGGATGGAGTCTTCCTGATGCAAAAATAGATACCTTACTTAGCAAGGAAAGTTTAAAGTTTAAGGATGGACTTTTCGGCATACTTTGGTGGCTCAGTTACATACTTGTACTGGAATTTTGAGAATTCCAATACAAACATGTAAGAAATTTAAAAGCCCTATGATCTTACAATTTATAAATTCTAACTGAATTACAATTTCTGTCACAAGCTTCCTGATCCAGCAAGATAAATTTTTTTTTGCTAACTCTTCAAGTGCCATCTTCGTCTTCTAATTTCTTTGCTACATAATGATCTTCCACATACATACATGCCTTCTCCTGCATTATATTCTACTTTTGGAAGATTTAAGATTGGCTTAAATAACTTATTAACTCCTTCTAAACAGCCAGTTTACTTGTTCTCCTGCTTCCATTTTTATCCATATTATTCGTGTTTTCATGGTTTGTGTCTTCCATAACACTGCTATAGTTCAGTAATTAGCCTCCAGCCTGACACTACAAGTTTAGTTTCCCTTTTTTTAATGTCAGAGCTTTTCTGACTAGATTCCTTCTCTTACATTTCTTTTTAATTCATAAAAGCAATGTGAAAAATAAGGGAACAGTTCAAAATACTAGTAAAATTCTGTCAGCATATTTATGGGTTTTTTGTATCTATTCCAGAATAATAGACTGTACATTTAGCAGTGTTGTTCAGAGCTTTACTCCATAACAGCATGTTGCTTTTCAGTTTTCTTGCAGAGGGAAGGGGAATACATGCGAGTGGATGGTTAACTAAAGATTGTTTTGGCGAGTGGGGAGAATGAAATATATAGAGATACTTGGGACAAATTCCAAGTGATAACCGATACTGACCTTACATTTTTTAAACAAAATTACATTTTAATGCAATCTTAAAAACATTGTGAACTGGGAGTTATACCTATGCATAAGGAGTCAGAACATCTTATTCAAGATTTGCCCGTAAGCTAAGAAAGAAAATGTTCTTCTCGGTAATACTTTTCCTGGAGACATTCCTTCCTCTTTTCTAACAGATCTATTTGCGATTTCTGGACTATCAAATGGAGCATTCGAATGAATGCAAAAGAAACTTCGTTGCTGTATATGATGGAAGTAGCTCTATTGAAAACCTGAAGGCAAAGTTTTGCAGCACTGTAGCAAATGATGTCGTGCTGCAGACCGGGACTGGCGTGGTACGCATGTGGGCAGATGAAGGCAGTAGACTAAGCAGATTCAGAATGCTGTTCACTTCATTTGTGGATCGTAAGTAGATTATAAAGTGCCTGTTCTCCTGGTATCAGGGCACTTCAGGCATTTAAGGAAGAGCATCAGCTGTATATTATGAAGCAGGAACTCACCAAAAAAGTTGTTTCTGTTTCCTTCACATACAGCTAGGTAAATTAAATACTTGCTTTGGTGTAGTTATTAGCACTGTTTCTGAGGGAAGGCTTTCCTTCTCTGTTAAAAGGATTATTTTTCACTTGAATTCAATAATAATACAGCCTTAGGCAAAGTTCTTCTCACAGAGAGTTTCACAAACAAACACAGACTTACTTAAAAGATAGCAACGGAACCAAAGTGCCCTCTCCCACTAGCACCTAATTTCCACTTCCCTGCCACACTACAGGCTCTTCTCAGCCCACACTCAAGGTTCAGAAGGCTACAAAATACATGTAACCCTGCAGAGTTTGGATCATCTTCCTATCCACAGCCCTACCCTCAAGCTTCAGATCTGGAATTGCACCCACTACCTCCTTCTCCAATGCATTGCTGCTCTAAAAACAGTATTCTCACATGCACTCCCTCAACGATGCCCAGCTATCTTGGACAGCCACAGTTGAGGCAGTTAAGTTCAAATTTATTAAGCAGGCTATACTAAGAGCAGGGCTGTAAATGCTACTGTGATTTTCCATTTGGATTCCATAGCCAATCAAAACTACTGTTGTGCTAAAGGTTAAATTTTCGATAACTTTTGCTTATAGAATAAATAGTACAGTTTGGGCTTTAAAGAAATAACTGCAATAACTCTTTTGACAGCACTAACATGTCTGTGGCCAGTCCTGAAAAAGACTGGCCACCACCTTGCAGAAAAGTTCAAGTTACCGGTAACAGGTAGATGTTATATTCTGTTCCATAAAACAGTACAGTTCAACACAGGATAAAAATTACTTTCTGTAAAATAATCTTTCTAAAGTGACAGCAATTTTTAAGAAAAATATCTTACTGCTTACTTTGTGTACATGATAGAAACAATTACATCCTTCCAAAACTGACCCATTGTTTAACCTAAAATGAGGTTTAATAAACTTTTCGTACTGTGATTTTCAGCAACTACCACTTTGAAGCACTACTTGCTTGTCAGACTTCCAGTTGCTTTTCCAGTCCTTTTTATTTTTCCATACAATTATCAATATTAGCAATAGTTTAAGTTATTGCAGCTTTCAGTCAGAAAAGGCTATGCATTTTGCCAGAGGAATTAATGATTTATTTTACAAATACTGGATTTTTTTTTTTTTTTTGGAGTATAAGAGGCTGAAACTATGACTACTGCTAAGGTTAGATAACTTTTCAAATTTAAGATTTTAAAGCAACTCAAAATCATTGCCAGAAGAAAGTCTACAGAGGTATGTGGTTGTTCTTATTTATCTTCTAACTTGACATACTATCTTTTTCTTTTATCATACGGCGATTCAAAAGTATGGGTCTGAAAAATAAATTTCATTTATTTTTAAATAATCTAGTGTTAACCAAATATTCTAACTAAAAATAGTGAATCCGTGCTTATCTTCTTTTCAGATTGTTAAGTTATTTATAATTACATGAAGCCAACCATGAAACAATCAATATTTCTGAAAAGATTTACATAAACGAACTAACTGTGCATGACAGTCACTTCACACGTACCTGGTGCTACTTGCAGATTTGACAAAGTAATTCAGCTAACAGCAGTGTTAAAAATCAATGTATTTGATTTCTGGCTTGATTCAATACATGAATAATGCTAGATATTAACAATGCTGTGAATATTGCACCAGCCTTAGGAAGCAGTTACAAGAAAAGTCCTGCTGTGCCCTTGAAGTCCTGGACTGGACCCAGCCAATCACTGTGACTCTTGGAGAGCCTCTACTCTCCAAATAGCAACAGAAAATGAAGTCCACGTGTCCCATCTTTATAGGCGTGTGAACAGAAGCCATTAAAGAGACTACACAGGAACATAAACTAGAGACTCTGATGGTGGATAGAGAAGCAGCAGCAGAATGCATCATCCAAAAAGAAACATGAAAAAATTCCCCAATACAGGGAAGTAAGGAAGGGAATGCATCTTGCATCATAATTCTACTTCCGCTATTCCAAAAGCAGTGCAACTCCATACAGGTCCATACCGAAACATCAGCAAATACACACGGATCCTTATCAGCCATTCTGGACACCAATTTCATACATCTCACTTGATCTCACAATCAAAAGTATTTTTAATAGGCATTGTAGCCTGTTACATACATATCCTTTTTAAGCTATTCTGTATAAAAGAGAAATGGGACCATTATTTACAAAGTAAGGCTTGCACCTTCTTTCCAAATTTAGAAGGAACAATTACCTAGATATTGTTTCCCCGTGCAGGCCAAGAGGCCAAAGGCTTGGAACCAAATAGTAGACTGTCTGTCATACATCTGTGCTATTTAACGTATAATTGACTCCACTAATAACAGACATTTCTGTGATAAAAATACAACATTACTGAGGCACAGAAAGGGAACACGAACTTTTTGTCCAATGTCCTGAAGCCATAAAGAATCCACTATGTATATTATACAACATCCCGAAGGGACATTTTTATATTTCTTAATGTGAAAATCCTATAAATAAATATTCATGGATGCATAAAATCATCTTTAGAGCAACTTGCTGGTTAATTTATTTGTTCAAATTTCTAACTATAGCTAGCTAAATAGATAAAAAGCTAAACTGTGGTCTCTCTTAATCCCTGCATTAGCTCTAATAGGAGGATGTAAGAGCTTTTATTCACAAGCAGGCATGACTTATTTGCCTCCAGTTACCAAAATCTCTTGCAATTACTGAAACACTTACAGTCCTATGCAAGCTGAAATCTGATTTGCCTTAAGATATTACTAGGCTCTAAAATGCAGATGTTCAGGAACTGCTTCAGAACTAGCTATGCCATCTACACAGCAGATGCACAGCAGATTGAATAAATATATAATTGATGGGGGAGCATGTAATTTAAGTATTTTGTTTTTAAAGACAAGTATTAAAGGCTTCCTCCATTATCTGAGTTGGGCGACTGTCTCTTTCTGCTGCCCAGTTTGTACTGGAAAATTTTGTTTGCAGCATTGATAATACACCTGAAAGCAACCCAATGAACAGGGAGTAAACTACCCGATAAGAAGTGATCTGCAGGAAAAGTCATTGTGTTTAAACTGTAAAGAGATAAAGAATGAATATGCATGTTAAATATAATAGGAATTTACTAGTTTTGTGCAACGTGTGAGTTTTGGAAATTCCTAATATTGTCGTCGTCTTCTTTTCTGCAGCTCCCTGCTCGGGCAGCACTTACTTCTGCCATAGCAACATGTGCATCAATAATTCTTTAGTCTGCAACGGCATTCAAAACTGTGCATACCCTTGGGATGAAAATCACTGCAGAGGTGAATACAATGCAAAGTATAACCTTTATGATCCAGGATGGTCAGTTTGCCTTTCAAGAAAAATCATGAAATGCCTGTGGCTGAAAATATCCTGAAGACAGCTGTTCTGTTAATATCAGGAAGGTGTTCCAGTTTTTTTAATTTAAACTCAGGAGGCATATGAGCACAGTGAAGACTGATCCTACTGCTTTATAGTTAAAACCTCTCTTCCTCTTCAAAACGTACTTTCCATTTTAAAAGAATATTAGCTTAATAGGAAATAGAATTCAGTATTTGCCAGGTTGCATCCTACCCATTCCTAAAATTTAAATGAAGCGAGGTTTGAAGGGGCAGGTAATATCTTTTATTAGAAAAAGTGATACAGCTGGAAAGAGACAGACAAGCACAAAAGGCCTTTTTTCAGGTCTGACATAGAAGCAGCAATCTTCAAAGCTAAATAGTTTTAAAACATTTGTTTTAACTTGTTAATCATTTAGATCATGTGAGGGTTAATGCAACTGCTGCATGTGGTAGTAGAGGGAGTGGGAGGAAGGAGGGATCCTTAGCAAGGTAATAAGTCATTATCACTTAGGGAAAATAGAGACACATGTAAATCACTGCTTCTAGAACACAGTGGGCCAGTAGTCTTGTTTAAACCACCACAACTACAGTAAGGCTGTTTCGATCTCAGTTTTAGTAGGGAAAATAGTCATGATTTGACGAAACTGTCATTTTACTAGACCACATATAATAATGTATTTACTTGTGTTGCAACACTGACTGAATTTTCAGAGTTGGAAAAAAAAATTAAGGTCAACAATTTTTTTTCTTCTTAAAACAAATAAGCAAAAAAAAAAAAGCTTGATTTTGTTTTGTGACAAATACAATGGTATAAATAGATCTGAAAACAAAACAACTCCTGAAAGTTTAATTAAAATATTAGCTCAATTTTAAAGAGAAATTCTTATTAACTGCAGAAAGGGTTATTAAAACCGTCTCTGCAGAAAAATCTTACAGTAAAATAGTTTATTTACTAAAAGATGTAAGTTTCAGTTCTCTGTTCAGAAGCCTTATTTAAAATTGTATTTTGGTAAAACATTATCAGGAAAAAAAAAAAAAAAGATTCACACAGATCTAATAGATACCCTAACGCAAGGTATATTACGCAAACTTTCCAGTTAACACAAGTGATCAGTGACTCTTAAGTCTTCAGTATAACCGCAAATTTCCTCTAAACAATTCTTAGTTTTGATAATATTCAGTATGTTCCCTCTTTGGTGTAACTTCTGTCTCCTGTCTCTACAAGTGCTTTTTTGGAATCTTGCCTAGAATCTGCAATTCACTCACCTGCTGCAGTATTTCAAAAATGAATTCCATAAAGACTATATAATAAGGGTGTAGAGAAACAGTGTCCTTCCCAATATTTGTAAATTGATTTGCCTAGTGCTGAATTATCTACTGTGTTTTATGTTAGATGAAGTCTAAATTCTGCTATAATACTTATATAGCAGACAATTAAAAGACTGCTGAAAACTGGATCCATCTTGCCCTCTAAGGTAGACTGAAGGGAAAGTGATGCAACTAAATCAACAGTTTTTTCAGCTTCTACATTTGTGTAAGCTTCTCAGTTGTGCCCTAATACTTCAGGAACCTAAAGTTCTCATTTTGTCCATCTCCACAACTGCCTAAATCTGAGCATATTGACACCTACCTTATGCCTAAGCCCAGTGAAGAGAGGGAAAAGGCGGAGAGAGAATTCTGAGAGGGAAAAAGGGGAGAGGGGAAAAAAGAATCAGTAGTGTCCAATTTCTTTTTAAGAAAATAAATTAAAGAAGATTTCACCTTTTGCATAACAGCTTTTGATGAGAACATCTTCTAAGAACTAAGAAATCTAGGTGCAGATGAAAGAACTGACATAGGACTGAAACCTGTATTTCCCACAAAAGTATGTTAACATTAAGTTCTAAGCAAGAAAGCCCAAAGGGTGCAGTCATCTTTCACATTAAAGCTATAAACGTAAGTCAGAGTAAAGAGTCTAAACTCTGAAGTGGAGCAGTATTTCAGACTTCACCATCCTTATTTCTTATTAGCCTACTCCTTGGAACTCTGTTTAATATACAGCTTGTTTTGGATAACATACCATGGTATCTAACTTTCCCCATGCACTGCGTAGCGTACTTAGGTGCCTGACACACAGTTTCAGATGTTAGAAGCCAGATATCTGAAAACAGTATGTAACATTTAGGCAACTACATCTTTACTCTACATAGTTTTAAATGCTTTTTTTCCTAGTGAATGTTTTAGATTCTATTAGTGCAGAATTCTTTCAGTCACCTAGGACAAGTACTTTTACAGAACAGAAAATTGGAAAATTTTGTCTTCAAATAAGTATTTTAAGTATGGGAGACCATCTTAATCTGATGCTGCCATCTTGTGTGTTTTCATAAGTAGTGCTACCCAACACTGCCACAGGATTAGGGTTGGCTGGTTTTGGTTTTTGTTTTTTTCCCAACTGACTTTATTACTGAGCTGTTACAATTGGAATATATCTGAACTTCCCTGCACTGAGATAGGGATAGCGGAGTTATGCAATAGACATAGTCATTAATTTTCCAAAGTGAAAACAAATAGCACAGTAAGTTTTACATCATTGCTGTTATAATATCTTACTTTGAAAAAAAAATATTTTATATATATATATATATATAAAATTTTAAAGCTAGGTTTCCATCCACTGTCAACACGAATATTACCAATAGCACCAAATTGTGACAGGGAAGCAGCATTTGTAGCTGTACAAAATCGTCTTTAAATCAAGGATTTTTGAACGTGAACTGAATTCATATAGGTTCAGAAATTGAGCTGCTTCCCAGTGGGGTCAGCATGCGCTAGGCACAGAGTTCTGCTGTCACTGATTTATCATATGGCAGCTATTAATGAAGACAGGGAATTACACTTACTGAACAAATGCACAGATCCAATACGACAAATCTCAGTGACATACAACTGTAGTCTCCAGTGCCATGAAGTTGTTATTTCACTAATAATATAGTACCCACATGGCAATCTGAACATAGCTTGATTTACTTTAATACATCACCAAAAAAGTGAATAATAATAAAAACTTTATATTAACCCCCATTTTCTCTTTGCAGAAAAGAAAAAGACTGGATTGTTTGAGCAAATCACCAAAACTCATGGAACAATCATTGGCATCACATCAGGGATAGTTTTAGTTCTTCTTATCATTTCCATTCTAGTGCAAGTAAAGCAACCTCGCAAAAAGGTTATGGCTTGCAAGACTGCTTTCAATAAAACTGGTTTTCAGGAAGTATTTGATCCTCCGCATTATGAACTATTTTCACTAAGGGACAAAGAAATTTCTGCAGATTTTGCAGATTTATCAGAAGAACTTGAAAACTATCAGAAAATGAGACGCTCTTGATGCATTCATGACCACCACTGTGGCTCTCAGACCTCTAACATAAAACAGAGCAGGACAAACCTCAGCTCCGTGGAACTGCCCTTCCGCAATGATTTTGCGCAGCCTCAGCCAATGAAAACATTTAATAGCACATTCAAGAAGAGTAGTTACACTTTCAAACAAGCGCATGACTGCCCTGAGCAAGTCATAGAAGACAGAGTTATGGAAGAGATTCCCTGTGAAATCTATGTTAGAGGAAGAGAAGATACTGCACAAGGTTCATTATCTATTGACTTTTAATTTCCTAATGAAGGTGATAACAGTGTATATACAGGATGCTTGTATATATAAATGACAGTGTATATATTAAAAATGTACCATATGCAGCGTGTGAGATGCACACACTTTTAGCTTACTGTATTTCATTAAAAAAAGAGAAGCCTTCTTAACTAATTATTGTTGCAAAACAGTGGACTCCCTCCAATCTTCCCAAGCTACCTATCCAGTTGAGCAACAAAACAGAGGCTTTGCATGGAAATTACTAGTTAAGGATATCGGGGGAAAAAACAACCGCCAATCATTGGTCACTGAAAACAATGACTACTACCCTCCTCTTCATATCTTTTTCTCTTCCTTTGATGTCTGCTTTTCAAGACAATTTTAATACCTCAGTTACTTACATAAATAAAAGTGGTTAAGTGCACCACGCATATGTCAACATAGGTGTCTTATTGTATTTGTCAAACTGAAGGTAGAGTTATTGTGTTAAGTGCCAGTTAACACTCAAGAATTGTGTTACAGCGATCTGTTTCATCTTGTCTACCATTTATATTACCTTTAATTGCTGGTTCCTCACTCAGTGTTTTGTGAGAAATAAGTGTAAAGGACTACTGCCTTTTAGCAATATTTTATCTGAGTTGCATTAATTTTAGTACCTCTGAGAATATATCATCTTTGCAGCTTGTGGTTAAAACTCAACTAAGTTCTCAAATGGTATTCTAGATACAAACTCTTACAAAAACAAATGTTTTCTTTCCAGAAGACTTACGATGTTAAAAGATTCTACAGTTAGAAAACAATATTGTTCGTGTGTTTTCCAAGTATTTACATAAAAAGACTGTACTGTGTATTTGTCTCTTAAAATAGCCTTGTACTTCTTATGGAGCCAATCTTCTCTACTTAAATTAGTGATAGATACTTTGAGCTCATGTCCTACTTGCATGAAGAGAATGGCTCGGAGGTCTGTGTGATCACCGAAGTATAGGAAGATACTGGACACAAGGAGAAATCACAAAGCCACTGGTATTAGCCTTTATGGCAGCCTTCTTGAATCTCTTGTTTCCACTTGCAAAATTGCACATTTCATACCTTTTTTAATGGTGGTTTTGACCTAATTTTAACATTTTTACAATATAGAACAATTTTTAAATATAATAATTCTCATTGTGATTTGTAGACTTTTTATATAGTTTGATACTGTACAGACTATTTATTAAATCAAAATCTAGCACCTGTACAGCAGGCTTGTTTCAGTGTGCATATCAGCAGTTCTGAATAACATGCAGTGACTGCTATGTACATTGCAATTGCCAAGAATACTTTTAATATGGCTTCTGCGTCCTTTTACTCCCTGCTTTGTTCAGGTTTATTTTGGCTTTTCATTTATAGGAAACACTTTCACTAAATGTGACCTACCAGCTTGCAATTGCTGTTTGCATCCTTTACTTAAAGGTACGTAAAATCATAAGTTACTGTGAATTATTTTTGTTGTTCTGATTGTAGTACAAAAAGCGTATCTTAATATATATGACCCTAGCAACTGAAACATCGTTTCTTTCAAGGAAAATACGAACAACAGCTATAATCACCGATTTGCATTAGAATGATAGAGAAAAGAAAAAGAATTTTACGCTAGGCTTAGAATGTAATTAGGTTTTAAAAAAAAAAAAATGGACAGACAGACAGAATTCGTCAACACTGAAAATCCTCAGTGCTTCCTAACTTCAAAATTATTAAGCCTGTCTGATATCGAGAAAGAACTTAATCAGAAGCTTATCGAACAGACCCTTAAGAGTGTATCCTGGTGTCAGTTTTTGTGCTGGTCACAGAATGTATTTCATTTTGAAAGAATGAAGTAGGCTTTTTTTTTTCCTAGATACTCTTCATGCAAGAGATGAGAGTCTTCAAAACTTTAAAGTTAATTTTGACTTGAAAATTTTTAAATAACTAAAACATTTATTGACAGATTCTAATTACTTCTCATTGATGTCAGTAATTTCCTCATTATGAACTATATGGCACAGAATGTTATTTGTGACAAACTATTAATAGTTCCAGATTCTTTCACCAAGAAATCTGTGGTTTTTACATAGGTAACTCTTGTCCATGCAACTAACTCTCATAAGTACTAGGGTTGCATAAATAAGTTTTCCTTTCAAAGGTATATTTGGCTATGCAATGAAAGCATTCTGGTCCCTATTCGTCTCTACATTATATTGGCTTTGAACAGTAAACCTGTAACACCACAAACAAGAAGCCTGCAAAGTGCAAGTCTGTGGAGAAAAGGGGAACAGCCCTAATGAAGAAATTCTGCAAGTAGCCTGAATAATATTTCAGTCTCAGTTGCTTTTGATAGCATAGTCAGAACATAGCTACTTTTTGGGTACCCCAAGGCAGCTAGGTCAGCTCCCATAACCAGAGACATCTTCTGTATGTGACTTTTTCCAATATCCCTAAACCAAGCTCTACCAGATTCATTTTCTCCCCTTCCTCACGTTATTTCTAGTAATTTTTTGTTGTCATTTATAGCATAGAGAATCAGACAGTAGTATCTGTACTATGATACCTGCTCCTGCTTTCCAATACAGAGTGAAAACTCTCCTGGAGGGAGTTTTTCTAGTGTTTCAGTAATAGCGTAGCCAACCTTACTGTGGCAATAGTACACACTTGACCGGATCTGAGAGAGGGAAACCAAAGGAAGTGATGACTTCTACTACCATCTTCTACATATATAGTAAGGGCAGGAAAACTGAATATCTGTGCTTGTTTATTACAAGTAGGATAAAGTTAATACTGAATCCAAAAAAATCTGAAAGGAAAACTTGCTTGGTTTATGTGATAACATGAATAATAGGCATGTCAATAATATGAAATGTCTACACAGCTCATCCTAATGTTAGGTTCAGTTATTTAACTGTGCTTTAAGAAGAGAACGATCACTATTCGAACGATACTTCCTATTCCAGTAGAATGAAATTCCCTTCACTAAAGAGAAAATAATAACTGGGTGGACTGCTTGGTATCACTGAGAGTGCAGAAAGCTGTCATTTTCAGCAAAAGAATCTAGTATTCTATTAAAAATTGTAAGGAGATAACAGCATTTACCAATATGATTAACAGTGGCATTGGAAACTCAGACTTAACTCTGTTACTGACTGTGAAATGTTTCAGTGATCACAAAAATATTAACTTGTACTTAAAGAGCATGAAATGCTCTCGTCTGGTATGGAAGACACAACCTTCACATTGAATACAAATTATAATGGCACATTATAATCATTACTGTCTATCTTTACTAAATAAAGACAAAAAATGGTTATGGAAAGCGCTATCATTGACTTACATGCCAGGCATCTTTTCTTGTATATACTTCATAGAATTTTTAGCAATTAAAAATAAATTTTTGTTTTTTTACTTAATATAGAGAATTCTGTGTATTAGCAGCAGATCTCCTGCTGACTAAGAAAAGCCTTTCCTTATTTTCCAAATAAATTTAGTCCTTAAATAAAAAAGATTACATAGCCTGTCATTCAATAATGATAACAACACTTAAATTGCTAAACTGTTTAAGTATAATCCTTTATCCAAAAGGCTATCAACAGCACAAGTCATAACAAACACATACACACAATACTTGACAACTATATCTGAGATGCCAAGAATAAATTACTACTTGAAATGGAACTATTTTAATTCATATGGCCATATGGAAACACATATCTAAAGTTTGATCTTCCTGTATTGTCAGTCTCTGTTCAAAGTAAAATTCAGTCAAACACATTTTTACATGCCCTTATTTCAAAGTTTGTTATGATTGTTCAAACGATCTGTAGAATGCTTGCCAAAACTAGATTCCAAATCTATAGCAAATTGAAAGATAAGCTGATTTTGTATTATTTGAGATCACACTGTTAGAACTGTACATTAATTCTAAAGCAAGAAAGGATTTTAAAATTAAAAACCTTTTATAGTTGAGTTGACTTATGTTTTGGAAATGAGTAACTTAACAGCACCTATCTCAATTTAGCAATAAAAAAAGCTAATATCTCCACAAATTCTGTTCCTGTGATTTCCAGTAACCATTTCTGTATAGGATAAATCCCTCCAGAAAAATACACAAATAAGTCACATGTCACTATGCTCTAATATGTGATTCTGTGTCACCATGGACCTGCAAGGGTATTTTCACATTCAAGTTCCTGTGCTACTCTCCATTTTGCAGAATCAGCTTAACAAAAATCTGTTTTCCATCTGTTTCATAAATCGTCACCAAAACCAGTCATTTGTGAATTCTCAACTTGTTCCCTCTTATCTAGCTGTTGAAGATAATCCACCATATACCAGATAGAACAGCTTAATTTTCATAAGCCTGTCTGAGCGCACAGAGCCAAGCCCAGGGAGAAACAAAGTAAGGACTTGACGTCTTTACATGTTTTTCCATTACCATCATGTAATTTATGGTAATACCTTTTATAATGAAGAAATCCATAAAATTTATATGTCAAATTCTGTCCAGGAAAATATAAAGTTAGGATAAACCAAATAATAGGCACTTAAGACCTACACACCTAAAAATTCAAAAATAATTTGCTATTTCGAAATCTGAATCATACCTTCTGAGCAGCAATGCTGCCAGTGTGCTTAAGGGAGGCACATCACACACTTTTTTCTGCACTTCTACTTCCTCTCCTCTCCAACCTAAATTTAATAGGCTCTGTGAAGTTTTAAATCTTATTTCATTATATTATTAATTTATATATAGAAATATAATCTTATTATTTGCATCTTACAATTAGACTCAAAGCACATTATCATCTACACAAAAAGTTGCTTCTCTTTTCCTTCCAGATATATTTAAGGAGCAAAAACTACATTGCAGAATCCGAGTATTTATCATTGAACAACAGCTTTTCAGAATTTAAGCATTATGTACATTTCTGGGTTTATACTGCCACTTATTTTTCACCTGAAAAGTAAGAGAGCACAAGGAAACCTCAAAGCTTCCAGGATTAGTACCCTACAAGATGCTTTGTTCTCTTAAATCAAAGAAGTAATAAATGATAACATAGCTCCTTAACCCCAAGTTAACAAGGCCGAACCGGAACAGAGTACATCAA